AGGTGTTATGTTCTTTAGTAACGTTTGTAAAGTTTACACATACCATTATTCATACCTATGCCTAGAGTTATATATTTTATATCATTGCCCCCTTCAAAAACAAACGAAAGAACAAACAAACATGTAGAATTAGCAAACTGGATTGAAATATACCTGGGATTATTCATAGTCAATCAGCACCGATACAAATATCTCAGTCAATCAAAACTACCAATTATAACCAATCGGTAGTGATCGACAGATATATAGACACACGTATAGGTTGTGTACTCAGAGTTAGAGAAAGTTATATGGGTTAGGTTCTTTGACTGTATCGGAAAACAACAGAAATTTTAGGTATACCTCTCAGCTCTGGGATCTAGTTTCTTGGTGTCTTGGTGACTTAACTAGGCGTCATAGTGGCATTTTATAGGGTGTTTATTGGAAAATTGCAGGCTGTGTCGGTCTGTCCGTACGTTAGTTAGACAACTCGTTCTGCATGCAGCTAAAATAAGTGTAGTTTAAAGTTAGGTTAGCATTTTCTTTGAAGTATTCTTTGGTGCGAAAGCTGGATAGGCTCATTTTTGACAGCGTAAAAAAAATCTAATTTCCAGAACGAATTAGTATCTCGTTATAACGAGTTAATTATCTCGTTATAACGAGTTTTAAATATATTACTTTATTTTCTCAGCAATGAGCCTATCAGGGTTTCGTACATGTACTTTGGATATAATTTGTTATCGTTTTTGTTTCGCAATCATTATCTAGATAGGACCTAGAAAAAGTATATTATATTCCAGAGTTGTAAAAATTTTACACGACACAGACGCACAAAAAAATGAAATAAGTTAACAACAAAATTAGAAGCAACTGCTTGAAAGATTCTGTCGTCGTGAATTTGCCAGCCTCATCACTTCAAGCTTCATCGCATATCATAGACTTAGATTGTTACGGATACACTACAAATAAAACAAAAATGAAAATTGTATCGCCTTGTTAATTAAAAAGCTCCCCCCCCCTCTCTCTCTCTCTCTCTAGAACGATAAGAAAGAAAACTGCATTTCCAGAAGTTTTCAAACTTTTAGTATATACCAAGTATCAATGCATTTTTAAGGGGGGGGGGGGGGAGGGTGTTAAAAATTAAGACCTCACTTTGAGCAAAGCCCTGCCACAACATGAGTATAAACAAAATGACGGAAAAAATATAGCATACATGACAAGACGAAGAAACATAGAAATAGAGAAACTGTACTTTTTTCCATTTTAACTTAAAATAGTGCCATTTGCAGTTGACGTTTCTACTATTCCTCATCAGTTACAGAACATGGGAATGTGGACATAGAATTTCTTTAAATGGAATTTTAAAGAGAAATCACATCTTATGTCAATAAAAGTAAATGTTTCTTATTTGAATTTCACCAGAAACTCATGAAAATCAAAATTCTTTTACGAAAATTTAACGAACACAAAGTGAAGCTCGTGCGATTTTTTCCACCTAGATTTAAAACAAAGTTTTTCACGTTTAATTCACAAGAATTCAAGTGAAACTGTTTCAAATGATATTCATATGAGAAAGATTTGACAGGGTATAGCAACATGCCCACAGTTGATCATAACCAACACTAGAATTGAGTTTGTTCAAGATTTCAACATTTTCATTCAAAACAATTAAGAGAAATCGATGATTAAAGTTGGTGCTAACAAAATAACCCACAGGAAGAGCTATACTTAACCCAAACACAGTGTTGAAGGGGGTGTAAATTTCTAACTCTCTGATAGAAGTAAATGCAAGAGATTGAGAGAGAGAGAGATGTAAACTGTTCAAAGACATTATCACCAAGGTAGAGGTTACCAATAACTTAAAACAATGCTGGAGGGGTTATTAAAAGGCATAATCTCCTAGACAGAGGTAAACTTAAGCAAGCACAGCGCTGGATTGGTGTAAACGTTGTAACAAGTGGACTTGGTCCCCGAGCTAGAGGTAAACGTAACAATGCTGGGGGGGGGGGGTAACTTAACAAAAGGTATGATTTCACAGGTAAAGGTTAACTTTAAAAAAAAATTGTAGAGAGGAATTGAATAAAAATGACATGACATCCGCAGCAGAAAAGAAACAGTAGTATAGGTAAATATAACGAAAGACAATCTCTAAGTTGTAGGCAACTAAACGACAACATGACCCCTGAGATAAACGCTGAATTTACAAAAGAATTTCTCCGAAGCAGGGGTAAACTTGTTTATTGAAAGACACATGTTGTTTACAAATTTTACATCTTGATAATGTTACCCTGAATCATTTATTGCCTAGCTACGCGCTGGATCATCTACGGAACTATTTTATTTACTACAGACTAATTAATTAAATAACTCCTCTTCGAATTACTGCAATAATTCTTTATGAATCGAGTTTACTAATTTAGAAATGGAATCGGAAGAATATATTGATGTATGTGTCAACAGCGATGGGAAAATACGAATACTCACGTTATTTCAACAGATTATATATTTACTTCTTTCATTCTTTCTTGTGATTTAGTCGATGTAATTAAGATTATCTAGATAAGAATTATCAATTGTTATTCTGATTTTGAAGGAGTTTCTCCATTATTTATGGAAATAATCATAGGGGCCTGTCTTCCGGATTATTGATATAAAATAAATTAATAAAATTTTTAATCTACTTAAAATACACTTATACCTTTAAAAAGTTGTTACAATAAAGATTCTGACACTTTCAGACAAGAAATACCGGCCATGTTCAAAAAAAAAAAAAAAAAAAAAAAACGTAACACGCCTATATATATATATATATATAGTTTCTATTTGTATATAGGTGTGGTAGGTTTTTTATAAGTAACTCTCTCTATGTAATTAGAAGGGGAAAAAGGATTGTGTATGGGAAATCAAAATTATAGCATTCGACTGAATAATACAGGAGCGATATATAATATTTTCTTTTGCAGTTGTCCTACCCATAAATTAATCTTCTTTAAAACAATCTTCAACTGACCAACCATTGAGAATGTACAATATACCTTTTCTGAGGAAGATATTTCCTTTCTAAATTCTAGTAATTATAAACTCCATTAAAAGGGGGTTTCGATTTACCAGGTAACAGCTATATGAAACCAGAATAACTCTTTGCACTAAAAGTGTAGTTATTCTCAGTGATTCTGAGCTAGTATGTCGAATAACCCAGCATGTCTGATCTAGATTTTCATTAACTTAATGAAAATATACATGTACATAGAGATAGTACCAGATACCCGATGTACTTTTGATCAGATTTGGTTCAACACATCTGAAATAAAGTGAAATGTTTAATATCAGGTTATTCTAAGTATTTGCTTGTCATATGCAAAGAGCTATGTGTTAAATAAGACTCCATTTCATTGACAAATAGGATCGTTTCATTTCGGGTCGCGGATAAACGACTGACCAAAGATTACGTATCTGATGTACTTTCAACATCACAAGATCCGCCCGTATGTTGTACATGTACCAATATGACAATGCAGGTGGGGAAAATTAGGATACATATTGCTTAATAACTTGTATATGAGGACCTTACCTTAGGTTTTCATGCCGTTCTTCGTGGCTTGTTCTGAGCCGATTCTATTTTTTTTAAACCAGTTTTGTAATCCTAAAAAATCGGAGCTCACGCCCTTTAGCCTCTGCAGGGAAAGTTGCTATTTTTTCTTCCTTAGAATAATTGTATATAGTTATAGCTTATGTGCAAGTATTAAACGGTGCAAAGAGAGAAAATCAATATAATTTATAAATCAAAAGTAGACTTTTTCTAAAATAAAACATGTGAGTAGTTATATTTTATTTGAATTTTAAAAAGGGAGGTAATTAGTAAGGGCTGTTTTTAACAAAGCCTAGGCCTCAAGCAACATAAAAGCTTTAAATAACATTTGAGAAAAGACGATGACTATTATATCAAGATTTTCAATGATCACTTAGACATAATACTCTAATTTAAGCATGTCTACCACGAATGTTGATTCACTTAAAAAAAAATGATAACTGTCTTCATTTGTTAGGGATTTTTTTTTTCAGTAAATTTCTATTTTTGTCCTTCTCTTCCTTACCTGACCTTGTATTTTGTTAATATGTAAATATGTTCATGTACTTCATATACCATTGTATGGTAAAAAATAAAGTATAACAACTTCTGATGCAATGATTATATAGACCTTTTTTATATATATAGCAGGCATTTCAAACCTCTGTCTGTCTGTTACATGTCAAATTTAAATATACGAGTATACTGATTGACATTCGTATGAAAAACTTTAATTAATGTCCATGCAGTCTCGGCATAAAATTTCCTCTAGACACAATGAAAATATAAATAGATAAGAACATTAATTTTCGTGCAGTCAGAGCGAAAAAAAAAAAAGATTTGGAATAATTTACGTGTTGAAAAAAATTAAGCGTCCTATGTTTTGCCTGAATGTAAAAGTACATGTACGTAAACTTGATATCGATCACCATCCTCATCTTTTTGTAAGGAATGATGGACTGACTGGGATACACATTAACAGAAATAAATATTAGAACTTTTGAATTATTGTTTTACTCGCTTTCAGGTTTTTTTTTTTTTTTTTTTTTTTTTTTTTTTAAATTTTCTTATTTACGGATATTAAATTAAATTAATATTAAAAATCATATTGAGTTTTCAATTAAATATAGACGATGGAATTAATATAAGTCCATGTGCATGCAGAATCCAAGCGCGATGCGAAGTGATAAGTCATGCAAAGTCCTTTTTATACACTCTAATATAAGAAGTTCTACTAGGCTAAATCAAATAATTGTAAAGATGTTGGCTACCATTGGTGGAACACACACTTGTAGCCTTATTTGAAGGAGTTACGTCACAATAAGATGATCAAATATCTGACGTCATAGTTGATCATTAACAGCTATGACAATGCTATTTTTTTAAAATCCACCCTTTATTGCCTTTGTTTCGATAGAAGAATTTCAAGACTGTAATTAGGCTAACCACCGAAATGGAAAATAAAAAAAGGAGAGAAAAAGAACACTTACAAAGAGGCCAGTCGGAGCGACAAGTAAGAAGAAATCAACTTCAAGGGGACAATGAAAAAACATCTTCCTTATCGAAAGCCGCCAGCAGCGGAGACAGCACACCAAATAGTCATAAAATAAAAGTGAGTACATCTTCTTATACACCAGATAGAGGAAGAAGAAAAACTCTGTCAAGTTCTCTAGAAAGGCAAACTTTTGTCGACGGAAACTCATGTCGAGAAATAAAATGTACAACTGATAATTCTCCAGCTTCAAATACGAGGTCGATGCGTCAAATGAACTCCCCTTCAAACTCTGAAAGAAAAACGGTTTATTCTGATGTAAAGCAAAAACATAGTCGAACACCAACGAACGTTTCAAACATGTGTACTAACAACATACCTTTAAAATCAAGCGAGGAAAAACGCCACAAAGGATCTGAGACCAAGAAATCGACACTTATGTCGCCAAATATTGATACAAACAAAAAATCAGAGGCAATCTGTAAAAACACGCCAAGAAGCAGGGAGAAAAAATCATGTCAAGAACGTGAGCTCAAGAAAATGGAGGATTGCTGGACTAAAAGCTTTTCTCCAGATGATACCAAGAGGTCATTGAGAAGTGGTTTAGAACTCGAAAATGTAAAATCACCTGAACCAAAAATAACAACAAAAGAAAAACCAAAGAGAAAATTATATGAAGAGGAAACTTTTGTCCGAAGAAAGAAACTGCGCAGCGAAGTAAAAGATGATGAATTGTGGGAAGGAATTCTGCCAATTCGGTTCAAACGCCTTACACCGAAGAAACACGCTTCCTTGAAAATTAACAAGTCATCACAGGAAAATAAAAATACTAAAGACAATGAAGGAAATTATTCGAACACTTCTAATGCCAAAAGAAGAAGCTTTGCTGATCTTTACGCTGAATTCTTGGTGAAAAGTGAAGAATTTTTAAAAAATGATGTGAAGGAAACTGCATCAAACACGTACCCTTGCTCAGATAAGAGTAATGTTAGATGTGAACTTATTTCTTCTAAATCTGAATCAGATATAATAAACAACAAATCCAGAAAAGCAGACGTTAATAACAAGGAACTCTTCTCTTTCTTCAAGGAGGAAGGCGTATCAAAAATGAATAGTAAACTCAAAGAGGAAGACAAACATCCCATCTCGAGCTACAAGAATAATACCGATGACAAAAATATCAGTCTTAACAAACATCATATCTTGTATTCAAAGATTAATAGCAAAAGAGATAATGAGAAAAAGGTTGATTTATCAAAAAATATCAGCACCATTGATAATTCTGTGGTTACCCCAAAGCGCAGCGCTAGGCTCCAGGAAAAGAGATCGTCTTCTAAGGAAAAGTCTTCTTCTGACCAGTTTCTTCCTTGGCATGAGCGAGAATTTAGTTTGAAGAAGAAAAAGTCTGTTAGATCATTATTACCTGACTTCCGAACTACTATAGGTGATAGTACTGAAACAACATTAACAGATAAAGATGTAAAGAAACGAGGCCATGAGGCGAGTGCCAAAATCTCAGCAAATGTTGCCAGAAACTCAGTCAGTACAAAGCAAAATGAAGAAGTGGGTAGCAGTAAAAATAAGCCAACTTTTTTAAAGACAGGTGCAAATCGTAAAACCGAAATTGTTAAACGTTGTCAAGACCAGAAAGTTGTTAGAAACTGTAAAGGAAAACAAATTAGTGATCTGCAGAACAACCAAAATTCTTTTGGAATGGCAACTAGAAGGACCCCAAAACGTGAACGTTATGAACAGGATTCAAACGGAAAGAGCAAATTGAACGAACATAGAGAAGATTCTTTGAGATTGACCAATAATGAAAGAAAAAATGACACAAAACGGAAGATTAATGTCAAAGAAAGTATTAAAGAGAGTCTATTTGGAAATGGAACAACTGAATGGAAAGGCGAAGAGCAATCAGAGATAGGCGAGACTATGCTACAGCATAATCGCAAGAAACAAGAACATTCAAGTCAACCAAAAGACAAACAATTGAAAAACAAAGTTGAAATCAGTGTTCAGAAATCAGATATGAGGATTCGAGAAAAGGAAAATGGTGATGAAAACATCAATATGAAGAGTTTAGATTCGACAGAATGCAGCAATAATGCAACGACAAGTACCGTAGACATGTCCCTAGAAAATAATCATTGTGAAACCGAAAATAACAACTCTTCTCTTCAAGACACATTACAAAAACATTCAGAGGCGTCTAGAATTGAAGAAAACAACCAGGGTGACGAAAAGCATACCATCAATGGAAAACAAGCTTTGAGTGCCTGTGAGGAAACAATATCGCCAACATATAGTGCTGAAAATGATAACACATTTTCATTAGCTTCAAGTGAAAACTATAATGTAATCACAGATATTTTTAACGCAATTATTACTCAGATAGAGGAGTCAGAGAAAACAGATGAATCCAAAGCACCGCTACATGCAGTCGGAAAAGAACACACTTTTGCTAAAACTTGTTTGTCTGTTGCTAGCGATATAGGAACCACCGCAAAAACTGAACATGATCATCTGGAGGATAAGGCTCCAGAGAGTGTCACAAATTCTAATCTACAGCCAGTACTTACTGTCACTGATCAACCAGATCCAAACACCAGTTCAAATCCCATCAACCGAAATCCTGTAAGTCAAACTATCGAGGGAACCAAAGTAAATAACGAACAAAAACCACTCAAAATTGTGATGCGAAAGACAAATCAGGGTGCTAAAATAATTAAAAACCTGCAAAAACTGAAAAATAAACCTGTTGTTGTTCTGCCTCGTTTGGCTGCATCAGGTTCCCCTGGGAATGCATCAGCTTCTAGAACAATAGAGGTGAATGTCAAAATTGAGTCAAATAAATCAAACCAAAATATATCTGAAGGCTCTGTGAAACAGAATAAAAAAATACAAATTGATTCTCGCGAAAGAGGTAAAACACAGACCCGGAGCAGGACACGATCCGGAGAAGGAGAGATCACGATCGCTTTAGAAAATCCGGAGACTGAGCTAAAGCCTCCACGTAGCAAAGGGAAGGTTCACCGAAAGCAATCTAAAGAAAACAGTTCCAAAGAAAAAAAAAAGATACCAACAGGATCACAAAAAGGGTAAGTTATTTTTCCTTTTATCATGGCCAGTACATTGATTCAAGATATTTATCAAAGAATCAAATAATGAAGGAAACATTTCTGTATTTCCTCAGCGGAAAGGTGTCAACGCCAACAAGAATTTCCGCCACAGATCTTGCTCTTCTACAGAACCAGACTTTAGGGAAACATGCCAGCATTCTTTGGTCAAGGTAAAAAAAAATAATAATGAACTTTATTTCAAGGTAATAAAGGATACAAAAATAGTGTTTCTTAAGTAAATATTTCATCCATATTGATAAAAGACGAAAATAATTTTGTCATTTTAGCGAAAACCGTCGACATTTCCAACAGACCCATCAGGATCTCGATTCTGCAGGAGTGGAGGCGATGATGCGCAAAGCTTGGGAGACCCTTGGTAGCAAGGAAAAGTTAAAGTATTACCAAAGAGCTTACAGCGCAACCAATGATGAAAACCGCCATTCTACTCCAAAGAAGAAACCAAAAGGTTTGGGGGTTTTTTTCACAAGAATGTAGGACGGGATCTGCAGTGTCAGATAACATTTTGCTTTTCATCTACATGTATCACAATTGAAACAGATTTTGTCATTAATACTGACAATTTAAAACCAGAACATAAGCTAAAGATATTGAGAAAAATTTTGCCGGTAGGTAGGAGGAGGAGGTAAGTGATGACGTAAAAGACTTCTTGTATGTGACATATATTGTACTATGGTGATTACAAGTACTAGTATTAGGATAATCATAGTATATGCAAAGTTATTTATCTTGGGGAGAAGGATACTAGTATGTTTCAAAGGTTTGTTTCATATACCAAATGTATGTGTCAAAAACTTTCATAATGAACACAAAAATACGATATATTATATTGACATCAATTAGGCTTCCGGTAATTGAAACATTATTAAAATCGCATTTTTAAGGTTTATTATTATGTCGTCCAATTTTCTGAAATAAAGTACGTTGCATATTACATTTGCTGGAACAAAATAACTCTACCAAATTTTGATTTAATAAGAACTGCAGTATATTTAATATTTTTGCTGGACAAATTGTAAAATTCTATGTCCTGCTTGAAGGTTTATTTAGGCAACGGTGAAAACTCTCGATAAAATGACATAAAGAGCTGCGAACGATAGTATTGTTCTGCCGCCTACCTCCAAGTCAATTTTCAAAATTTAATATACTTGATTGATTTTCCACACATTTTGTCCAACGTTTTTCCATATTTATATAGATATGTCTGTGACATTTCATAAAACATAACTTATTTGGGAAAACAAAGAGAGATAACTCTATAAATTTGGTAAAATCTGTGTTTTTACTTTACATGCATGTAAGTTAAATTTTACTTAAGTTAAAAATACGGACAGATTTTTAAGAGTCATTTATCCATTTTCAGGAGTATCTGAAAATCTTGTGACGTTTTAAAGCCAGATTTCAATTATAAAAATATTCACAGACCCCACCCCACCCCTTATGAAAAGAGTTGAAAATAAGAGCAATTAATTTTCTGACACTCTGGTTTTAAAATTATCAATATATTACTAGTGAACTCTTCTTTGCATTCAAACTAGTTTTAATGACCAATTTGCCAAATAAATATTAAATAAAATGGATGTAAAATGTAGGCGGGAATCGAGTGTTAGCGTGCGCAGTTCTTAAATCTGAGGAGACTCTTGTCCTTTTCTACAGTGCATTTTAACTCGCCTTCGTCATGGGTGACGGCCAGTCAATGCTGTTATTCCAGAATCTTTGCTATATATAAATCTTTGCGCTGCAGTCGTTGGGGATTTCTAATAAACGGAAGAAAATAATCCATGATAAAACTAATTAACTGAACACATGATTGTGGATGACTTTCAGTACAAATTAGGACTATTAATGATCTGCCGTATATATACAGGGTGTTTCATAATATATGTTACATTTTGAATCTTCTATTTAACAAACACAAGAAAAAGATACACACAAGTGTTTTTATCAACTTGATGCATATATCCATAAGATTCATTATGTACAATTACCAAATAAAATATTAAAAACTGGACGAAATCTCAAACATTAATGAAAATTAGTGAAATTTCTAAATTACGTCATTTTTGTTACGTTGAATTTCAAAACGTCAAAAGTCCACGTTACATGTTCTTAATGACCTCCACTATTACACCTACAAATGAAAGTTGCTTCTCGAAATTTGTATAACCTTGTCACAAACTTTTGCTTAGACACTCCTCATTTGAAGGTTTGTTTCTTTTGAGCTCATTCAGTATCTGTTGTCTAGTATTGTAGACCCTGTTCCCAAAGACCCCCCACAGAAAAAAGCCCAAAGATTGAGATTGGCGAATGCAGAGAGCAAACTCTTTTCTTCGGGTATTGCATTATTGAAAATTTGTACGCTGATAACTTCATATCATATTTCAAAGTTCAATATATGATGGAAATGCTGATATTGACAGCATCAATTTCTGAATACATCCGTCTGACAGTTTTCTCAGGAGTTTGCTAAACTATCTAAGAGTCTCCACTTCACCATTTAAATCTTCGGTTCTTGAACTCCTTATGCTTTCTGGAGTTATTGTGTCATTTATCGCATATTACCCGTCCCTGTCCTTTAACCTTGTCTAGCCTTCTGATAAGCATCCTAAAGAGCTTCCATTCCTTTGGAATATTTCCTTAATCAACTTCTGAATGAATAATGGCGACATGTATTGAAAAAAAAACAGCTTTACAATTCAGCAATATGTTGATAAGTTAAGTCCATTTCGAAAAATATTCAAATTATGACATCGGCGTTTATGTCACAATTAATCATTGTATTACCATGATTTCCTTGACTTTTTCACATGGAATAAAAATGCAGGATTTGATGTAAAAAATGATATATAGTTTGTAATAGAAATATGATAGGTAAGAAAAATAATTAGATTTAAAAATGTAACATATATTTTGAAACACCCTGTACTTGAGAGGTGTTGGTGTTCATTCTGACATAAAAGTTCGCCTACACTCACTGAAATATGTACTTTAGTAATAGAAATGTTAGAACAATTTTAAATATGATGGATGAAATACAAACCTCTGTTTAATGACATTATGCAGAATTCATCCCAAAAATTGGTCTCGTTACCTTTTTACAATAACCAGTCATATCTGATTGTTTTAAAGTACTTTTATTTTCCTTTATATTTTGCCTAAATTTCATTAATCAAGCTTAAGGGTCATTCACCCTCTGGAATAAATTACTTTAATTCCTTTTTAGAATTGCATGTCACGATAAGATGCAATTTCTATCAAATTTGCACCGCAAGGTATGCTGAAATTTTTCGCATTTCAATTATATAGTTAAGATTTCTTTTTGAAAATCATTATCATTAAAGCAACATTTTCATGAATGAGCAGAGGGATGATGAACCTTAACATTTGCTAAAGGTTGACACAGTGAAAGGATTTTTTTATAGGGTATGTACCGATCCTCTATAACAGTTATTGGACGCAGTCAAGGTCACAGGGATTGGATATACATGTATTTCTTTTTCCGGTGTATTACGGTATAACTTTGTAATAAAGAAGCTTACATATAATCGGTATCAGGGTCTGCATGTTTTTATGTCAACATCATAAAAATTTTACTTTTAATTTATTCAACTGAACAAGTCATTTCTTATAAACAGCGGATTCCTTCAATATTATTTCGTTTACATAGACATTGGACACTCGGTTCTTCAGCGAATTACAACTCTTGTTTTTGGTACTCTTTCAAAGAATCAAATTATTATTTTTTTTTTTTTGAATAATTCTTTGAAATCTTTTTTAGACAACACCAAAGATGACTCTACCCTAAATGCAGCTATGACAAGTTTCCTAAAATCAAACCCAACCAAGCAATATGAACAACTTAAAAGACGTTTAGAATTCGTTTATAATGTATCAAGCGAAGCCTACACAAAACTAATGGAAGAATTCAAAACAGAACTGCAACGAGTAAAAGAAAAGATATCAAGGAAGACAGACATGCAAGCATTGTATCGTAAGCTTCTATTCCAAAGTATTCTCGACATCTGGGACACCATTCTTCAAATGGCCCAACAGAAGCGAGAACAGCAGAGAAAAGTGATCCAAGAACAGTTCAGCGAAATCACCCGAAAGTTGATTGTTGGTGAAGGTGTCAGTTTCTCAAAAACCGTGCGTTCTGAAAAATTGGCAGAGCTTCTTCTAGATCTAAACGACCTTGAAACAAACAGTAAAGTGTCTGTCAGTGGAGAGCCTATCGTATGCAGCGAGTATGACGCCATATTGGATGACTTGCTGGAATGTGAATTTGAGTCTGATGAATGGTCACCTTTGGAAGATCTCCCAGAGGCAAATCCAAAACTTTCCTCTGAAATATTTTCTAAGGTCTGCATTAGACGATGTTCTTCTGGTAGAGAAATTTGTTTGATGAATCTTATAAAAAATACACAAGCATGTTAGTAAAGAAATATTTCATAATTATTCATCATCAAAATACATGAAATGACCACAATAAGTGGCATCCATCCGAAGAATAGGTGAAACTTGGCAAACGACTACTTTCTGTGTCGCGTGAAACCTGTTTTAAATTCTATTGATACCGTAGTTTTTTGTCGTTATTTTGCTCATATTTACCTTGTTTTTATTTATATCTATATTGAGAGCTCTCGGCGTCGGAGATCTCCATGTATTAATTATCTTTATTTATTTAATTGCTTTAGATTTGAGGTTTTTATTTTAAATTTTTGGTAAATATTAGATAGAATCGACATAACTTTGGCTAAGAAGTAAAAGTACATTTATATGCCGGGCATTTTTCTCTATCGGAAAATTACGGATCATATCTCTTTAGATATAAACATGTTTTTTTTATAATTATGAAATTTGCTGATTCACTGCACATAGGTTAGGTTATCTATTTATTATTTAGTAAATGCATATTATTATCTTCAAGCTTCGTACTCTAGTATTTCATTCTTTTATCATTGTTATTATGACTTCAAATTGCACAAAATTTAAATGTAACGTCAGGCGGATCGATACGTTTTTCACGCGTCATTGTGACGTAGGCAAACCAATTTATACGATATAAAGTAATTTTTTTATCCAATCAAATGGCGCGTTACAATCAGAATTAAATTATTTATAATTGAAATGTGATTTTGATTTATATATCTTTTTGTAGGCCATGTCAGAAAAGAAATTACCTGAGCTGGATGCTGCGTGTATTGACGCGGATTTTAATTCAATAATAGAAGAAACGTCCATAGAAAAGCTTAAGCACATTTCTGGAGAATTTGACCAAATTGTGTCTCAAACGTTCGAGAACTTTCAAAAAGACAATACACAGCCTTGTTGCGAGCTCAACTCGCCTTCGTGCCAACTTAATAACTGGTTGGTTGCGGACCAATTTCGACGTCTAGCAAAAGGTGAAGTGGCCGATGAACAAGCACTAATTGACCCAAGAGTCCTGGTACAAGTTCTCAAACCTTTGAAACCAAGAAAGACAAAAGAAAAATTTTTGCCCATCTCGAAACAAGGCATTAAATATGAAGATTCGAACAACAGTTCCAGGAATGTTTACTTGCAAACTACTCCTAGGTCCTTCATATACCCATATAATATGGTAACTCTGTCAAGATCGGCCAATGTTATTTCTTCGAGAGTCCACAGTGGTAACGGCCAGGTTCATCCTAATGTCCGCTTCAAAAATTATCATCGACTAACTTAGTGCCCGGGGCACTGTAAGCGTTATGTTTAGGGTTGGAGCTATGCTGATTTATAGATAGGCTTGGAAAAAGAAGAAAATGTTGTGTTCTACAAATATAGAATTTATTTGAAATGTAATTTATCTGTGAATTGTATACAAATCTGAAAAAAAATTCTTAAATTCGGTAGAGGACAGAAGAAATGAACAATTATTTGAATGCCTAGAATCAGTGTTTCCTTGACACCGCAATGGCTGAATTTTACGATTATTATGTTACGGGTCATAAAACGCAATAACAAATACATTTTACATTCTCTAAAGTATTTTTTTATGAATTTGAAGGAAGATATCTGTCTTTAAAAAAAAGTCAAAATATTTTTGAAATATCGTTATCAGCAGTCAGTGATCGTCACGAATACAACACGAAATATTTCCTTCTTTTCAAATGTATTTTCTTTCAGCACATGCATTTTCATGTTTTTTTTTCTTGTTTTCTAAAATAAAAAAAGGAAAAAAAAATATATTCAGTTTAAAAATCAATTATGCGTGTGTCTGTGAGTCCTGTAACTATTTTTTTATGCCCCCGTATCGAAGATCCCTTTCTCTGGATGCCAACAACTTTGACCCTTTGACCTTGGAGTCTGACCTGCTTTTGGAAAACATTAACCTTGGCCATAACTTTTGAACGGTTGGTGCTAGGGTTTTAATACTTCACATATGTAATTCTTGTGACAAGACCTTCTTTTTGATACCAACAACTTTGACCATGACCATGGAGTTTGACCTACTTTTGGAAAACTTTGACTTTGGACAGAACTTTTGAACAGATGGTGCTAGGGCTTTCATATTTGACATGTGTATTCGTTTGACAAGACTTCCATTGGATACCAACAATTGTAATCCCTTGACCTTGGAGTTTGACCTACTTTTGGAAAACTTTAACCTTGGCCATAACTTTTGAACGATTGGTGCTTCGGCTTTCGTATTTCATCTGTGTATTTCTTGGGAGAAGGCCTTTCCTTGGGCACCATTACTTTTGACCTTGACCTTGATGTTTGACATACTTTTGAGAAAAAAAAACTTTAACCCTTTCCATATCTATTCAATGGTTGCTGCTAGGGCTTTCATATTTCACAGGTTTATTCCTCGGGACACTTTGGGTACCAACATATTTGATTTGCATTTGAGAAAGTTCTTGTTTTAAGTTACCATACGGGCGGGGGCATCGGTGTTTCACAAACACATCTTGTTTTATTTGAAAAACAAAGATCTAATATGACAATTACTTATTGAATAAGGTTAGAGTTTAAATCTCACCACGGTTCAAGATGAGGCACATGGATCAAAACCACAGGCACCTGACGAATGGATGGTGCCACACCCCACCCTTCTGACAATTTTTATTAGACACGATAATTTATCCAAAATATTCCTTGTCTAGCATACCTTTATTTCGATTTCTGATATCATTTTCCGTTTTTTTGTTAAGTATTAGAGATTGCCCCTCAATGGGTATATAAAAAGTTTTTTGATAATAAAAATTTTCAGAAGTTGGGAAGGAGGATGACACCATCCATTCGTCAGGTGCTTGTGGATTCAATGATCTCGCCAATAATTTGTCAAATATCACGCATGGCATTCATTGCAAGCCAAATGATTCTAATAATATGAGTCAGTGCTCCTATATGATTTACACACAGTAAGTAGCATCTATTCTGTGGGAATTCATTTTCAATGACTTTTGGTTTTTACGTCGTAGAAAAAAAAATGCATGATTTAGGGAGAGGTCCAAATGATTTAAGACAATTCTATTGACCACATTTCAAGGAAAGGCATTTCGTTGTATACACAGTGATTATATTACATTTTGTGTTATTACATTTTTCCATTGATCGCTACACAAAATATAATAAAGCAAAATATTGTAATAGTTGTTTCTTGCTGTATCGAAATGATTGAGATTTTATAATTATATCTTGAAAAAAAAAGTACCTATTTTTCAATCGATATTATGAAAAACATACTTATTTTTCAATCAATAAATGTTTTTCCTTATCATTTACAGTACTCATAATACATAATGTTTTTTTATTTAAAATTTGGTGCATGCGAGAACACAAATTGAATATTCTAATTGAGTTCTTGGCTCAGGTGAGCAACACGTGTATAGGCCTATATAGAATTTTCTTTAAATTTTCATACCGGTATTTTCTACGAACCAGAAAAAGTACCATTTATAGGACAAGTTGAGGGACATTTCATGTCTTCATCAGGTTCGTTGCCTGGTCGTTGACCAAATAATTGCAAGTATATTGCTTAGCAACTCCTCATTCAGATTGCCGATTTCTAGATCTGATCAAACATGTAAATAACTGTACCGGGAAGAGGAAGGGGGGGGGCTTGAAAATCCGGCTCCACTTAAACAAAATATGAATAATGAAGGATTTTTTTTTTACCAAGGTTAGATTTAATTGTAGATTTATTAAGATTGTCATCTAGAATGATCCCTGGAAGTTTTATTGAACTAATAGACAACATGCAGTTCGTCAAACGCACTATAACTCTGTGTGAAATACAGTCCATAATGATATAGATTTTAATTGTGATAAGTACCTGACAGGATTTCATTAATCTAGACTATAACCCTGGCCCTACAGAAATGAACGCTAACTCAAGCAAAAGGTTATAAACAAGAACGGTGTTTACCGTATAATATTGATGAGAAAGTTATGGAAATCTGACTTAAGACTTATAGTGCATTGGTATCTCAGACTTGTACACGTTTATAGATAATGTACTTATAAGAGAAACTACCCCAGTATAAGTGCATTTGCCTCTATAATTCTCATTTATACACGGATAGCTAATGAAGAAGCAACAGTAGTAACTACTTATTCAATAATTTATATAAATGTGCAGTTCTAGCGCACCACGAAATAGGTTCTTTTCACGTTTTGGAAATGGATGGGGTTTTTTTTGGGGGGGGGGGTGTTTTGTTTTGTTTTGTTTTTTTGTTTGTTTGTTTTTTGTTTGTTTGTTTGTTTGTTTGTTTTTTTGGCTTTTCAAGTAATTTATGGGGTGGAAATTTTTTGACTGAGGGTGGACCCCCCCCCCCCCCGAAAAAAATTCCTGTGATTGAAGTTAAAGATCAAATGCTCAGGTGAATATATGGTCCGTGGGTCTCTTAGTATTTCATACAATAAATTTATTAAAGCTGGGTCTGAAACTTGAGAATTTAATTATGTTTGTATATGAATCTTGGAGAGAAAGTTTTTGTAGTTAAAATATGAAGAGCTTTTCGGCCCCGATTTGACCTCCCGGACGGAAAAGAAAAAGCCGAAATCTTATTACTTATTACATACCAATTAGTTCTAAAAGTTGATTTGGCTACTGCATGAAATGTAAGACAAGTTCCGGGAAAATGGTTTTTGTAGCAAAAGCCCTCCCCATTCCCCCCTAATTGGCCCGAGGGTGAAAATATAAAATTCCGAAACCCTATTGCACATCTAGGACAACATCTCACATCCAGGACATCATCTCACATCTAGGACATCATCAATTCTATTCCAAAATATAATTTGGATACTTCATAATTGTTTTTCGACCCCAAATTGGTCCTTAGGGTGGAAATTAAAAATTTCAAAACCATTTTGCACATCTACTGGAAATAACCTATCTCATTCCAAAGGAGAAATTGTGTTAGAAGGTTTGAGGAAGAAGATAGTGTGAAGGAAAGACGGACCAGGGTAACAACAATATATACTGAACTTTCTTTAGAAGGTGCGGGTAAAATCGCAAAACAGCTTTCAATTCGAATTCAATTTACATACATAAGTGAATTCATATCCGGCTATTTTCACTGACTGGCGCACTTTACTCAGCGCGAAAAATTCTATATCTCTAAGACCCACATACGGAACATAAACAAAAGACTCGAGAGATCTACTCTATTAAAGGTGCTTAGACACAGATTTGAACTTAATATTTTCTCAAATTTTCTGTATAATATCAAGACTTATATATTTCAATAGCATTTCACACGAAAATATAATTAAAAACTTAATTTATCTCGAAATTATTGGAACTACGAATTCCGGGACGCGTTTGATTAACACATCTTTGCACTTACAAAAATTTGCCTAAATTTACACAAATTTAACTTTATCCTTAATATTTAAGAAAAGAAAGCGATTTTGTTATGTATAAATGCAAAATATTACATCTATAATCCAGAAAATTCAGGGTAGAAATGTTTGAAAGCAAAACCAACTCACCAGTATTGTCAGTCCGTGCTCTGTGATGTGCGCGTGTACAAACTTTAACAAATTGAACACACCCGTGAAACGTAAATTTTTTTGTAAACAGGACACGAGCTCTGTTATTGTATTGTTATTGTTAATGTTTACGATTCACTGGGTGTGTTCAATTGTCAGTAAACTCTGCACACAAAACTGAGCACGGACTTACAATACTGTGAAAAGGTTTTGTTTCTCACATTTCTACTCTGAATTTTCTGGATTATAGTTTTAATATTTTTCATAAATCCGCAACAAAATTGCCACTTTTCTTACGTATTAAGAATAAAATTAAAATATGTGAAAGCGCAAGGATGTGTCAATCCAACGCGTCCAAAAATTCGAAGTTTTAATAACTTCGAGACGAAATAAGATTTTTATTACATTTTAGTATGAAATGCTATAGCAACATATAAGTCATGAAATTATACAGAAAAAATGAGAAAATGTTAACTTCAAATCTGTGTCCAAGCACCTTTAAACTGCATAACAGGCAAAAGATATAAGAGTGTATAAGTTTAAAGGTCTCAGCATACAGGGTATAGTGATCCTAGTCTTCATAGTGAGGTAGATGGGTATCATGCACAACGAGCAAATTCAAAGAATTTTGGTCCCCAGCTTTTGGTGTCTTAGTGCATGGGATACCATTATTTATGGCATAGTGTAACTGCCTTGTTTTTGTGTCCTATCTTGTCTGTCCACATCCTCACAATGTCAAGGTTTTGTGATTTCTGAACTCCACACAAACCCTTGACATAAGTCGTTCTTTAAAAGTTGGGCTAGAAAGCTACTATTTCATTTGTTCCTGGTCTAGGACTGGAACCAATCAGAAAACAGCTTTTATTGTAGGTAAGTTTTGTAAACAAATATGACTCGTCTTTCAGATGGAAAGTGTCGATATTGTAGAATTTGTGACTAGTTACATTAAATGAAACATCGAGGATTAATTTTTGGAAGATCGTCCTCCTAACAATCACAAAAGATATGCTCTGGAGTTGGGACATTTGGAAACGACGGATTTGAACAATATATTCTCATTGGTTAGTTTATAATTACCCATTACGTCATGTGTAACCACAAACTCAACTTTTAAATAGGACTTATGTCAAGGGTTTGTGTGGAGTTCCGAAATCACAGAACCTTGACATTGTGTAGATGGTTTGTC